GAGCTCAACAAAGTGCTTTGGTCTTGTCGCACCACACCAAGCTCGGCCACGGGCGAAACCCCTTTCAGCCTGGCCTATGGAGCTGAAGCCGTCATCCCAGTAGAGGTTGGATTGCCATCCGATCGAGCAGACTGGCATGACGATCTCAACAATGAGCAACTTTTGAGAGAAAACCTAGACTTCGTAGAAGAGGTCAGGGAGATGTCTAGAATAAGAAACGTGGCACATCAAAACCGCGTTGCAAAATTTTACAATAAAAGGGTTCGAGCTCGCCAGTTTCAAGTTGGCGATCTGGTTCTACGCAAGGCTGGGTTAACTAACACTCATTCACACATGGGTAAGCTCGCTCCTAATTGGGAAGGTCCCTATATGGTGGTTAGGGTTAAGCGACCTGGCTCTTACGTGTTAGCAGATATACACGGGCATCAGTTACCTTACCTTTGGAATGTACAGAATCTTAGGAAGTTTTACAGCTAATGTGTGTTATGTTATTTCGCTTGAGGTACTATCCATCAGTTGTAAACAAACGATATACCGAAAATACAACACAAATTCAAAGAAAAGTTCATTTTGTATTTCATCAAAGACATTTACATTGAAGGTACATGCTATGAATTCATTGATCAAATACAAAATGCAAAAACAAGGTACAAAAAAGTCAAAAGAAAAAACCCTAAATCTAGTCATCCGTCAGATCGACGGGCATAGATGCATCAGCAGCAGCTGCAGGAGAGCGAGCTGGAGGAGACCGGGCTGCTGGCTCAATGGGTGGCGCGCTGACGGGCGAGCTGGCCGACAACACAGCGGGCTGAGAGTTGGGTGGGGTACTCGAAGGCTCCTGCTCAGCCACAGGAGCACCCTCTACCCAGGCGTCAAAGGAGGGTAGTCCTGCTGGATCCTCCCCGTCCTCCAGCACGGACGGTGGCCAGACGGGCACACCCTCCTCGTTCAGATCCCACCTCAGCCTCACAGTTGCGTCAGCTAGGGGAGTGAGACTTTTTCCCTGCTCGTCCAGGTCCTCCCCGTCAAAGAATGCCAGCTCGCTGATCGGGAAGTTAGGGCGATGTCGCAGCACCTTCCCACGGATCTCGTTGTAGATTTCCGTGGTTACATTTGCAGACGCCACTGCCACGGCGTCCTGGAACGCAGCCAAACCCACAAACCATTCCGCACCTTGAGCTCGAGCGATGCTGACAGAGCGAGCATGGGAATTCTTCAGCTCGCTCAGCGCCTCCCCAGCAGCAGTAAGGTTCTAGTCGGCCTCGGCGACCTGGTGTCTGAGGGAGCTCAGCTCGTGCTGAACAAGATCCCTGTCAGCCTCAGCCTTCCTGGCCCTTTCGTCAACCCGAGCGGCCTCGTCCCTCGCCACTTGAATCCCGCTCTCTCTCTCGGCACGGGCTCGCTCTAGCTCCTCCTTGAGCTCATTAATCTTATTTGCGAGCTCGTCCACCCGGCTCTCAGCAGCCGCGGCTCGGTTCGCCATTTCAGAACCCTGCAGACGATTCACATCGTCCACAAGGCTGGCCTTCTCAGCAGCCAGTTGCTTGCACTTGGAACCGAGCTCGCTGTTTTGTGTACGAGCCGCCCGATCGCTCTCGTAGAGCGCCACAGCGTAGTTGAATGCCTGCCAAACGGCAACAATAGTAAGTACCCAGTAAAGCAAGAAAAAACATTTATGGAAGTATGAGCGAATGCTTACATCCCTCAGCTTGATCATGGCGACCTGGCCGCCATGCTGCTGCACGAACGCTTTTGCTCACCGATTATCTGTCGGGGGCACAAAATTGCGCATGGCCTGCACCATGGCGGGCTGGCACTCCGCCCGTGTGTAACTGAAACCCTCAGGATAAGTAATCCTGGGGCCCGAGGATGAAGCTGATGCCGAGACGGGCTCCGCTGCTGCCCGCACAGTCGCTGACGGTGCGTTTGGAGAACGCACGGTTACAGGGCGAGCCGCCTGTGCGGGCTGAGTCTCCCCGCTTCTTATGCACCTAGCAAGGGGAACCTCATCCTCTTCGCTCTCCGTCCCCTCGCGTGCACGTCTGCGCGCGCCCGGAGCTGCAACCTCAGCTTTGTGATCCGCTTGCGGCCTTGACGACGAGCTGGATCCCCTGTGTGACGAACCACGTGACTGAGGCGCTGGGGGTGGCCGCTCGTCAAATCGCGTCTGCCTGGGTTGCCCGCTGCTAGCCCCGCGACCTCGTGAGGCTTTGGCACGTTGTCGTTGGCGCTCTAGGATGCTGCTCATTTCTCCTGCACAAACAAATGCATAAGCCTCAGCTCGGCTAGAATCTAGGTTACATGATGAAAATATACCTTCGCTGAACAGGTTTGTCACATCGACAAACCCGAACAGGGCGAGCTGCTCCGAGGTAACCAGGGCTTCCAAATCTATGAGACCCTCCCCCTGCGCATACTGAAGCAGTTGGTTCTTCAGATCGACATCCCGGGGCAGCAGCTGGGGGTAGTTGATGTGGGCGTTTGGTGTGCGCCACTCAGACAGCCGGGCAGCGAGGTCGTTGCTTATCCCTTCTGCTCGCGTGTCGCGAACAAAAATAAACTGTTTCTTCCACCTCGCCACCTTGTTCCTCACATTTTTGAAGAGCTGGCTCTTATCCCTCCCAGAGAGGTAATACCACCTCGCTCCTTGTGAGTTCGGACACAGCCGGCACTGGAATAGCGATCTGAACACTATCGCTTTGGCTGGTACCTCTAGTCGCGCACACAACAGCATAAAGCCAATAATGAACCTTATGCTGTTGGGCGTTAGCTGCGTCAACGCCAGCTCGTATTTCGCGAGCAGATCGAATATCAAGCCGGGCAGAGGAAACCGCAGGCCGGCGTCGAAGTGGTCCGTATACACTGGTATCCAGCCCGTCGGTGACATTGTGCATGCCCTTTCGTTCTGCCCGCCCGTCCGCAGCAGTATGGTCTTGGGGATGTGGTACGCCCTCACCATCTCCTCCAGCCTTTTATACCCACTTATGGAGGGCGCACAATCTGCTACTTCGTGGTGAAGTGCAGCCTTGAACTTGAATCCGGCGGGCAG